GTTATATTAAAAAAAATAAAATATAAAGGCCCTCTGAAGAGAAGTTGGATGTCACTCACATGCATTTTGTTGAGATCACATGACCAAAATATAGCCTACTACTATTTTTTTTAAATAGTGGGCAGTGTATAATGTGCAGTAAGCTAATATTCCATTCTAAACACAGCCAGTATGCATAACACATTTCGTCTACTTCCAAGTCTTACAGTGTAAAAACACCTATATGGATATTATTGGATCATATGATTATGAATGCCAAAAGGTGGCGAACTGACTCATTAGGTATTGCTCAGTCAAATCCATGAATCCTGTTTCTTGTACTCCACCAGCTGTGACTATACAACATGAGATCTCCTTCAAGGACTACATGCTGACGGAGGCTGCGGAGGATTCTCTGGTTAACCTGGCTGTGGTTATTGAGGATGTGAAGTCTCAGGAGAGAGTGCTGGCTTCAGAGGAGTTCAACATCCGCAGCCCCTCCCTCAATATACAGGTATATGCTGGCCCAACATGGACATATACTAGCTTTAAAAGAAACATGAACTCCTCTACGCTTGACCCCCTTTATATTAGAAACAAGATTTTTTTTGTGACAAATTTAAACCATTTTCAGATGTTTTTTATTGTCTACACAGTAAATACATGCATCACTCCAAGATCATAGATATCATGTTGGAGAATTAACTTGAAGCCTTTATCTATAATGCATTATAAAAGTATTTTAATGCATTAATTATGCTTTGCAGTGCACCTTATAATGCATCGCATGATCTCATGAATAACTGTAACCACAGATATAAAATATTATAATACTTATCTAGTCATTGTTACACCTTGAGAAACTATAAAGCTTTTTAATTGTGGTTATAAGTATTTAAGAAAACATATAATGCATTACAACATTTTATAATGCATTATACATATAAAGGGTTATGTTTTTGCATAACTACCCTCAATATACAGGTATATGCTGGCCCAATTCATGTTGCCATTTAATGTTGTTGTTTCAAAAAGTCAGCATGACTTGACCAATCAGTTCCCAAAGGACAAAATAGAGTCCCATCCTTGAATGGGTTGAGAATGCAGGTAGTAAGATGAAATGACAAGACATTTGTTTAGTTACAAATTAAACCATTTTCAGATTGTTTTTAAGATCTACTTAATAAAGACATGCATCAATCCAAAACCATAGATCCTATGTGGGAAAGATTGTGGTAACACTTTACTTGAGACCTTTATATACAATTAATTATAAACATATTTTTATTGCATCAATTATGTCTTGTAATGCACCTTATGATGCATTGCATGATCTTATCAATAACTGTAACCACAGTTAATTACATCATAATATTTCTCTATTCATTGTTACAACTTTGAAAGTATAATGCATTAAAACTAATTTCTATGGAAGCCTTGAAGTTTTCACCACGGGATAAATATTTTATGTGTTACTTCATATCTTACAATTCTCACTTTCTTCTCAGAATTATAAGTTTGTATCTCACAGTTCAGGGTTTATATCTCATAATTCTGTTCCGATATCACAAATAATTGTCAAATATTAAAATGCATGTTAATTTTGGTTACAATTATTTATGGAAATGTATCATGCATTACAACATACAAATGTTATATAAAATGCAGTATACATGAAGGCTTCATGTATAAATTGTTATCAAGATTTTATTTTATTTTTTTGCATTTTTTTCTTCCAGGTTCAGAATGAGTATGTGGTCATCAACACGCAGCAAGTGGCCACAGTGACCTTCACCAACCCGTTCAGCATTGCAGTGAGCGGTGAACTGATTGTAGCCTGTTCAGGACTTCAGGAGAAAGTTCAAACAAGGTATATGAAGTGTTTCATTTCTGAGCGATCACCAAATGAATACACAACATAATCATACAAGTAAATGACTGACAAATCAGAATGTTTAGAAAGGGTCAGTCATATACTTTTCAGAAGAATCAACCTACGAATGTCTCCACATAATTAGCTTGATTGAGTATTTTAATATATTTAAAAAATGACACATCCATATTCATCCATTTCTATCCACACCCATTTCCCACATCTGCCAACTCCTTTCCAAATTTATCAAAGCAAGTACCGCAGTGACTCCAGTTTTTTTTTTCCACTACAGTACAGTAAAGCTATATTATCCATCACTGTAATTAAAAAGTATTTAAAAAACAATAGAAAAATTATTACGGTTTAAGATAGATCCCATACTCATTTTGATTTGACAGCAGTAACAGTATTTTAGCAGAAACTATGGTTACTGTGATGAATTTTTGTTCACATACCTGAAGAGTGAGTCTGTGTGAACAAGTCGCTGATGGGCGTCAAACAGTTGAGTTCATTCAGATGTATGTGTACAGTGGGAGGGTGTACACAGTGTACAGCTGTGTCTATTAAAAGTTACGCACTTGTCCGCCAGCATTTCTGAATCACAGGTTATTTCAGTTTCTGTGTGTATCGCAGAATCTCTAGTGTAAGTTCATTTGTGTTTAAACTGTAGATTTGTCCCAGTATATAGGCCTACAAATGAACCTCTGTGTAAACCACTAACCCTAAACATGAGCAGCAGCGATAGTGATGCTTGTAACAGTAAAAGTGATGCTGGCATGTTGTTGCTCCCTAAATGTCCTGTTCCTTGTATTTCAGGCTTACAATCCAGCCTCGAGAAACCATGAGGATGCCCATTAATTTCACTCCCAGGATGGCGGGTGCCAAGATGCTTTACGCTAGTTTAGTGTTGATGAATCCTTCCACCGTCCTGCACGGATTCAAGACCATCAATGTTCAAGCATCTTAGAGTCAAACACCTTTAGAAAGAATTGTGAACCCTCAGCATGAAGTACTATTTAATGCTCTTCTAATACATTGTCAGCCTTTTTTTCTAAAATACGTATAATGTGTACAACACTTTTCAACAAGTCAGTATTAGAAATGTTTTCCTCCAGTACGTTTGCACTCACTGAAGCTGAGGGTCTCTGCTGTGAACGAGTCTGCCCTCTTCTGGGAAATGCATGTGAACAGATCGCAAACAAGTGTAACACATGGACATGTTAAGAAAAAAATACTTTATTTTCTGGCTAAATAATCTTGAATATACAGTTCAGTGTGAATCAAATCAAAAAATATTTTTACAGTGATATTTACAGTGTTAAAAAACCCAGAAAGCAATAACGGTGTTTCAGAGGCTAGTTTAGTAAAAAAGACAACTTGAGTGCTTCTGCAACTTTGGACACTTTTTTTTGTCCCAGGGGTTAGTAACTTTTTTTACTTTTATTTATTTAGTTAGTTAGTTAGTTAGTTAGTGTGACATTCAAATTAAAACTGTCCTGGAAACCTTTTACAGTGCCCCATTGTCTTAGTGTTAAAATATGAACCAGAACTAAAAAAATAAAAATAAAAAAAATCAATTTGATCTCATTTTACAGTAAATCTTAAAACACTCTCACATTCTTAATCTATATGAGAAATAGTAACAGTGATGGTAATACCACAAACTAAGGCAAATACACGGCAAAAAAAATAAGAGTTTTTGCTTAAAATGAGAAAAAATATCTGCCAAATGGGCAAGAAAAAACTTATTTTCCTATTCCCCCTTTAAATTATTATTATTAGTATTATTATTATTGCTACTATTTATTTATGTATTTATTTTTACCCTGTTGCAAAGGCAAAAACTAACCAAATTTTGATACCTTTTTTCAGAAAAAAGAGAGATTGTCTAATGCTATTACCAAGTAAATGTATCTTTATTTAAGAATGTTTAGATATTGTTACTGGAAAACCTGTGAAAAATCATAAGCAATTAAATACTTCTTGTAAACTGTTCCACGACTGTAGTCTTCTCTGTGTTCTTGGTGTTGTTGTGTTCTCCTCTGACAGCAGATGCAGCATGTATTGATCCGTCTAATGGAGGAGTAACAGAACACAGTTCAGTGCTGCAGCTCTATTGTGTTCCAGTCTCTGCAGAACTGACAAACCCTCTAGAAAGCATCAGTCTCTAACAGAAAACAACAGCAGCAAACTCACAGTTAATAATGACAGTAACCTGTAAACTGAACATGAACTATAGAAAAACAAAGCGTGATGATTTTTGAACTGTGTGGCCATTTGTACGAGGAGAGAAGAAGAGATGTTGTTATGAATGTTTCCTAAAACACAGAGAGACATATAGAGGCAAATTCAAACCTTTTCAGTAAAATGTTCTAAATAACAGTTTTAATTGACAGTTCTTAATGACGAGCCAATTCAAACTATAATAAGAAGGAATAAAATACTATTTGGTGGTTGTTGTATGTGAAACTGCTGTGATATTAATCACCCGTTCATATGTCTACATTCGGGCAGTCGAATCGAAGCACATCTTCAGCATTCGCAACTAACAATTTCATCATCATCTTCACACACTCCAAACTCATGCAGCTGTGTGTGATCTGTGAGATTTCATCATGACAGATCTTCCATGTAAAGTTATATGCAAATATATGAGCACACGCCCACACACATGCACAAACAATGCGTATGTCATCTTTTTGTAATGTTTCTGTGCTATATTTACTGTAGCTGACACTGCAGTCTAAACAAAAAAGATCAAAACATCAGAACAGAACAAACCTGACATTCTGGAGAATACCATTTTTTTCAGCTGTGGCCTTATGGTAAGCGTACATGTTTCAACACATTTAACATATCTACATAGACAACATTTACATATTTGGGAAACACTTTTATTCTTACAGTGCATTTGTGTCTTGCCTGGGAATTAAACTCATGATTTTGGATATGGTTCCACTTACATACAAACACTAACATTAACTTATCACTGACATTAACTTAAGAAGAAGATACCTTCTTTTAGTCAAATTTTGATGCAGTACCATTATCATTTACAGGAAAGGCAATTACAGAATGCGTTAAGTAAAAAATATCCATCCAAGATCGTAGATGAAATAAGAATCAATGTTAGATCTGATCACTGAATAGTGAAAAGTATTAACAAAAGTTGAAGTCGCCTGTTATGCATTTGAATGTTTATTATTAAAGCAATGTGTTGTCAGTTTTGCAACATGCTAAGGTCAAGCTCTGTTAATTAAAATTAATTGGGAACTGAGTAACATGTATACACTTCTATGTACATACTTGAAATGTAATTTACTTTTGCGATCTTTTATTTCTGAGCAATACTTCTGTAATAATTTTATGACTTACTTGGGTGTTGCGACTGTCCTCTGTCTACAGTAAATTTTCCAAATTTTCCAAAATAATTTAGAATTAATGTAATAAGTATGACTTTTTGTCATGATTTTAAACTTTGACATTTTTGTCATAATTTCGATTTATCTCATAATTATGACTTGAAATTGTCATCATTTTGATTTCTATGTCCATTTAAACCTTTTGTCATTTTATCTCTTTTACCTCACCATGACCTTTTTTTGTCATAATTATGAAGTCATTTTGACTTTTATGTCATAATTTAACCTTTTTGTAATAAAGTTGACTTATAACTTAATATCTCATAATTTCGATATATGTTAATTAGCATCTCATTATTTAGACCGTGTCGTATTTATGAATTTTAAAATGCAATTTACTTTAATGTCATAATGTAAAATTTTTTGCAATATTTTTTTTTACATAATTATGACTTAGTATCTCATAATTTTGACTTTTATGTCATAACTTAACCTTTTTGTAATAAAGTTGACTTATAACTTAATATCTCATAATTTCGATATATGTTACTTAGCATCTCATTATTTAGACTGTGTCGTATTTATGAATTTTAAAATGCAATTGACTTTAATGTCATAATGTAAAATTTTTGTAATTTTTTTTACATAATTATGACTTAGTATCTCATAATTTAGACTTTTTGTCATAAGTATGACTTTTGACATTTTTGTCATAATTTCGATTTATTTCGATTAATTATGACTTGAAATTGTCATCATTTTGATTTCTATGTCCATTTAAACCCTTTGTTATTTTATCTCTTTTACCTCACCATGACCTTTTTTTGTCATAATTATGAAGTCATTTTGACTTTTATGTCATAATTTAACCTTTTTGTAATAAAGTTGACTTATAACTTAATATCTCATAATTTCGATATATGTTAATTAGCATCTCATTATTTAGACCGTGTCGTATTTATGAATTTTAAAATGCAATTTACTTTAATGTCATAATGTAAAATTTTTTGCAATATTTTTTTTTACATAATTATGACTTAGTATCTCATAATTTTGACTTTTATGTCATAATTTAACCTTTTTGTAATAAAGTTGACATAACTTAATATCTCATAATTTCGATATATGTTAATTAGCATCTCATTATTTAGACCGTGTCGTATTTATGAATTTTAAAATGCAATTTACTTTAATGTCATAATGTAAAATTTTTTGCAATATTTTTTTTTACATAATTATGACTTAGTATCTCATAATTTAGACTTTTTGTCATAAGTATGACTTTTGTCATAATAATGATGTTAATTAGGAGTCATAATAATGACTTTTTATGTCATAATTTAAACTTTTTATGACATAATTTCAGCCGTTTATCTCATAAATATGACATTTATCCCATAATTATGATTAGCCAAATCATGTGTTTTTTTTTTTTATGTGGTAGAAATGGGCTTCTGTAGTCTCCAGTGCACTTTGCAAGAGTGTTTGTGTGGTGCATCGAGTTCTCTTATGACGTTTTGTTTTGTAGTATGCTGTCTTTGTAGGCAGCAGGCAGCAAGTCTCCTCTTGTTTCCATCCAGAGGAAAGACAGAACGACTTGATCTGTAATTTAATGTAAGCATTCAATTAACCACAGGCACTCACAGTCACTTTTGTTGTATCTGACATCACATGCATTCATGTTAAATTGCATTATGATTTTTTTTCCATACCTCATGGTAATTAAGGGCTCAAATTGGAACGGCTCCTGGAGCTCAATGTAGGACACAGCAGGCAAATGCACAAAAGGTGATAGCTGAACTATTTTTAAATATGAATAGAAATTTTCTTGTTGACTATCTGGTACCCATTATGTAAAGATTTTTATGTCATAATTTAACCTTTTTGTAATAAAGTTGACATAACTTAATATCTCATAATTTCGATATATGTTACTTAGCATCTCATTATTTAGACTGTGTCGTATTTATGAATTTTAAAATGCAATTGACTTTAATGTCATAATGTAAAATTTTTGTAATTTTTTTTACATAATTATGACATTTTTGTCATAATTTCGATTTATCTCATAATTATGACTTGAAATTGTCATCATTTTGATTTCTATGTCCATTTAAACCTTTTGTCATTTTATCTCTTTTACCTCACCATGACCTTTTTTTGTCATAATTATGAAGTCATTTTGACTTTTATGTCATAATTTAACCTTTTTGTAATAAAGTTGACTTATAACTTAATATCTCATAATTTCGATATATGTTAATTAGCATCTCATTATTTAGACCGTGTCGTATTTATGAATTTTAAAATGCAATTTACTTTAATGTCATAATGTAAAATTTTTTGCAATATTTTTTTTTACATAATTATGACTTAGTATCTCATAATTTTGACTTTTATGTCATAATTTAACCTTTTTGTAATAAAGTTGACTTATAACTTAATATCTCATAATTTCGATATATGTTAATTAGCATCTCATTATTTAGACCGTGTCGTATTTATGAATTTTAAAATGCAATTTACTTTAATGTCATAATGTAAAATTTTTTGCAATATTTTTTTTTACATAATTATGACTTAGTATCTCATAATTTAGACTTTTTGTCATAAGTATGACTTTTGTCATAATAATGATATGTTAATTAGGAGTCATAATAATGACTTTTTATGTCATAATTTAAACTTTTTATGACATAATTTCAGCCGTTTATCTCATAAATATGACATTTATCCCATAATTATGATTAGCCAAATCATGT